TGGGTAAGTAAAAATTAATTGTTAATATATATACAAAAATATATATATATAAAAATAAATTTATATTTTTTTTTATTTTATATGGATCCCCACGGTTCCCCACGGAGCGGAGAAAATTCCCCGCGAAATTTCACAGGTAAAAAATTACCTCCATCCCCGCCCCACGGGTAGGAATATTCTGAGAATCTCCATCCCCGTGGCGGGTATCTCCGTGAACCTCTGCGGGTCGCGGAGGAAATTGCCATCCTTACGTGGAAGACAGAAGGGTAAATAAAGATATCAATTTTAATAACATTAATTTTTTTATTTTAAAATATTAATTTTTAATTTTTAATTTAAAAATTAATTAAATAAAAATGATAATATAATAAATAAATTTTTAATTGAAATATTAAAATATTAAAAGTTACCATTTTAAAATAAAAAAAATAAAAATTAACATTTTTTAAATAAAAAATAAAAAATTAATGTGCTTATTTTAAAACTAACAAAATGAAAAATTCGGATCCTTATTTACACCATTTCTCCCTTGTGTAGGCATCTCTTTTCCCTTTGTGGGTGTTTCAGTTTCATCTCTATTTGTTTTGTTTTCCTCTTGTATGGTGGGGATCTTATTTACGGAGGCTCGTCGTGGTTCACGGGATCAACAAGATTACAGGAAATAGGGGTAGCGATGGACTGAGCTTGGAGTACGGGTTTAAGCGTGAGTGCTTCCTTAGCGGTGGGTCACGTGAAAGAATGGCAAGCGGCGGCTATCGACCGTTGGGTGGCTGCGAGTGGTATCGTTTGTGGTGTTTTAGTAGAGCGGGTTGGGTTTTCAACTGGTAATGGAGTCTCACCATGGCTGTCCAAGAGGAAAGAAGACAAGGTGGGTGCACAGCGGTGGCAGAGGTGGTGGCGGCGATGGCGATGAAACTCTTGTCTCCAACTTTTTTGTAGCTTTGACTAGTGGAACAAGTTTTTTGCCTGTTATCTCCTTAAAATCAGGAGATGGCAATAAGTTTTGAAAGTTTGAATTTAAATAGGATATTAGCCCCTTTTAATTGGTTTTCAGTCAAAGATATTGATGGAGGAAAAATAGGAGTATAATTATTCTAAAATATAACATTTCCTTTACTATTAATTGGTGGGATTCTATCCTTCCATATATTACAGCATGATTATTAGTAATCGTGAGTATATATAATATTTCAAGCTTGATTAACAACTTAAATAATTTAATAATTATTTTTTTAAATTAAAAATAAAAAATTTTGAATTTAAATCACATAAAATGTGAATAAGGTGAGATAAAAGATAAGAAATGATTATTTTTTTAAATGTAATTAAGA